AGAAGAGCCACAAAAAATCTGATGATGAGTGTGACTATGGCAATGATTGTTCATGTCCTTGCAGTCATTGTTGTACGAATAAGGATTCGGTCGAAAAAGACGTTTGTCTTGTCAAGGACCACTTAATTCCACTCGAATTGAGAGAAGAATTAAGACAAGAAATTTCCAAGTTAGAAAATGTAGACGAATCAAAAAAAAGATTATCATCCTGGAAGTAACAATCAAGTATTGGATTTAATTCACCCATCCCTTTATTGTTATCACTACGCACATAGTGTGCTCAAAGAAGATTCTCCATTTATTCTCGAATCAAATCCAGACATTTTGTGGATACCCACTTGGTTCAAAAGCAACGTACACAGAACACCACTCATTTTGTGCAACAGAACTCCCAACATGAATCAGATTCAATCAAGGATCAAGCTGAGAAACAAAATCAACACTCAGCAGAAATTGACTTTGACATTACCTATGAATCCTACATTAACAATATTTGTGAAGTGAAACAAAAGAATTTGGCAAATGTCATTTGCAAAGTGATGCGTTATTTCGTACCCATGTGGGAACAGCATTACAGTATTCATTACAGTCCTTGTGACGTTACCTTTGATCGCTTTCAAGTCATTGTCAAAGCAGCCACAATAGTGGTCCATCCTGACAAACCCTATTATCCTGGAGGCACTTGGCACACAGAAGGATTGGATGAGAATATTGTTGCCACTGGAATTTATTACTATCACTCGGAAAATGTGAAAGAAAGTTTTTTGGATTTTCGTCAAAACTTAACAGATCGTGAACTGAGAGATTATGGAGCTCCAGAGGGCACACTTTCCTTTGAATTATTGGGAAGTGTTGAAACAAAACAAGATCGATGCATTGCATTTCCAAACATTTTTCAGCATCGTGTGAAACACTTTTTCCTCTCGATCCCACTCGTCCTGCCATTCGAAAGATTTTAGTGTTTTTCTTGATTAATCCCAAAAAGCCCATCATTTCCACAAATGATATTGATGTTCAGAGATTGGACTTTTTATTGAATCGATGTATGGTGTTGTGCAAGATTTTGCCATTGGAGATTATTTATAGGCACATTTTGGATTTTTTGCCTCACATGACGTTGGAAGAAGCTCGTGATTGTCGACTCGAATTGATGGAAGGAAGAAAGTACATGATTGAAGAAGAAAATACCGAGTGTGAGAGAATTTATGAAATCATTGAGAGACCTTATTCATTGTGTGAACATTAATGATACTACCACCACTACTACTACCGCGAAAGATCATCTCCTCAGTCTTCAAATTAATCTCCAAGATTTAACTGATAGCGAATATATTGTTTGATGGAATCAATATGAGATCTTTATTCACACATCTTTAAGTTTTTTCCACATTTATATTTACACTGCAGGCTGTGATTCTAAATAGACTAATTTCTCACTACGATTGCCAAAATAGATTCTTTGGGTTCGACAACGCCAATAACGAGCACATAGAGCTGTACAACGAATGCTCAAACGTTGTGCCTTTGAGATGGCAACACCATTTGAATAGACACAAAGAAGAAGAAATGCCAAAAGAAGGAAAGAGAGGATGAATTTTGAAAGTTTGCAGTTCATGAAGGTTCCAATATTAAA